CCCTCAAAAAAAAAAACACCCTAAACCCTAAACCCTAAACCCTAAACCCCTGAACCCTAGCCATTCACTTCTTGACTTGCAGAGGCTTCTGGTTTTCGGGTGTGTCGGGGGTTGCGGGGTTTCAGGGTCTGGGGCCACAGAGGTTTCGGCTTTGAGGTGGTAGGGCCTTAAGTTACCCTAAACCCTAAACCCTAAACCCTAAACCTTTTCGGGCTGCAGGCCAGAGAGCTTTGGAGACGAAGGGCTTCAGGGTTTAGGGTTTAGGGTTTAGGGTTTAGGGTTGACCATCAGGTGGGAGGGTTCTTCGAGGGTTCAAGGTTTAAGGCCTTTTATACGCTTTGGGCCATTATTTTTGCCTACTCTTCGGGGGTTTAGGTAGGGTCCAACTACCCACCGAACCAATAGGCTTTGAGGTCAGGAATTCTATGCTCAGAGGGGTTCAAAGAAACAACAGAAGAAGGAACCCAGGACAGGAGGCCCCCGCGAGGGATCCGAGGTGGCCGGCGGGGCGGCCGCCATCCCTGCTAGAGCACTATGCTGCTCTGACGGGCTTCTTTTGGGCTTGATCATGTGTTGCGAAGCCTCCACGGCGACCCGATGGTGCAGGTTACATCTTTAGGCATTGGGCATGAGGTTTACGGCTCGTTTGCTATTCTTGTCTTCAGGTGGTTGGGGTCTAGTTGCTTGAGGATTAGATGCTCTTAGCTCTGCCAAGACCCCTAAACCCTAAACCCTAAACCCTGCACCCGAAACCCTACATAACCCTAAACCCTACACCCTAAACTCTACACCCTAAACCCTACATAACCCGAAACACTACACCCTAAACTCTACACCCTAAACCCTACATAACCCGAAACCCTACACCCTACTCCCTATATAAACCCTAAACCCTACACCCCAAACCAGGGCGTTACGTATGGAGCTTTGGGACGCAGGGGCAGATCGGCTCGGGGTCTGCAGTGGTCTACTTGTGGTTTGGGGCTCAGGTTTCCGTCGTCAACTTGGTTTAGGGTTTAGGGTCCTTTAGGGTTTTTAGGACATTTAGGGTTTAGGATTTTTGCTTTTGGGTTTTTAGGGTTTAGGGTTCAAGGCTTTTTAGGGTTTGGGGCTCAGGTTTCAGTCGTCAACCTGGCTTAGGGTTTAGAGTTTAAGGTTTTTTGGGCTTTTGGGGTTTAGGGTTTGGGATTTAAGATTTAGGGATCAAGGGCATTAGCGTGCAATATATATATATATGATACGGATGTCGTAAGCATGACCTACGATGACCTACGTATTATGTACTAAGTCCGCTGTTGCATTAAAGTAGGGTCAGTCGCTACTGGGCTTCAACCGTTTGGAGTTTCTAAGGATATCCAAAGTTAGGGGTTAAGGCCTTCCCAAAAATCGGAACGCGAGAAGACCTCCGATGTATGCAATTGTGATGTTCTTTGTTTCTCCTCCACAGCCATCTCCAAATTGCTAAACCCTAAACCCTAAACCCTAAACCCTAAACCCTAAACCCTAAACCGTTTGATCATCTTTTTTCATCATCCCCTCGACTTGCCACTCTGAGCTCTCAGCCTGACCCCGACCCAGAAGCTGCAACCGAAAACATACTCTTGGCCTACTTCTGAACCCCTCCTAAAAGTTAAACTTTTAGCCTAGATAATATAGTTCATATAGAAACCCAAAAAGTTAAAGTCTAAAGAGCCAACCAGAAGAACGCCAAGTGTTAGTTAGTGTTTAGGAGGTCGGTCATATGCATGGTCACCCCGACTCACCCCCAATTGTTCTGCTTGCTTTAACACTACAAGCTTCTCGGGCCCAATCTTTTGCTGATAGGTACTATGTTAACCGGACCTGAAAAGCAGCCTTAACATGCCCAGAATAAAGTACATACAACTCCGCTTAAACCCTGAAGCTTAACTCGTTTGCTGAATCGCAGAGGGTGCTGCCGGCTTCGGGATGATGGCAAGAGCTTCGGGCGGGATTCTTGCTTAAAGTGTTTTGGCTAAGACCTGTGTTTAGGGTTTAGGGTTTTAATATAGGGGCCTTAATTATTTAAAATAGGGTTTGGGGGTAATCATACTATAGTTATGATAAGGAACCCCGAGCACTCTATTCTAATCATTGCGGTCCCTACATAAAGTTGACTGCCTTTTTGCAAGAGCTCCGATCGTGACCGTGCGAGCATCCTGCTCTTTCGACAGACCAGGCACGCTGACCCGTCCACCCTCGAGCATGTGCTAAAGCTGATACCTACACAATCCAAACCCTAAACCCTAAACCCTAAACCCCTAAACCCTCAAACATCAAGCTCCAACCACCAAATAGCCGACAGGCGGACGTTGTTTGTGTACTCGTCTCTTGGGTGGAAGAATGCTGCCCCCATGTGGCAGCTAGATATAGCAAACCGAAATCCGAAACGCCAAATGCCCCCCGAAGGTCAGGGGAATCAAACTTGTCTTTCTGCTTTTCAATCACGAATCACGAAGCCGAGTGCAAAAATGCGACGAGGAGGCGAAGGAATGGACACAAGAATGCAAAACCTACGTCTTGATGGCTTCATTGCTGCAGATAAGGCCATAAGTATTTCAGCGTATGCATCGTGGCAAGACCAGCCCGGCTATGCGAAGCTACATCTGAAATCTGATCGGTTAAATTGAAAAACACATGTATCGCCAGAGCAAACATACTGTCAAAAAAGCATCATCAAAAAGCCTGCCTGGGAAACTCGATGCATTACGGGTCCGGCTTGACCAATGAGGTAATGATTGGGAATCTAGTTCTATGGCGAGCAAAAGACTTCTCTACACGAACCTCACCATCGAAGAATGTATGCCTCTGTCTGTGTGTGTGTGTGACTTCTCGCTTGGGCCTTGTTCAAATAGCGCTAGGCTAACATAGAAAGATACAACATCCGTATTTGTGCTTTTCGATGACGTACGCCATAGGCGCTCGCTTGGAATCGAACGAAGCATGACCGAAGAATCGAAGAACGATGCATGTGCGTGAGCTCGGAATAGACTCTCTGCAAAGAAGCTTTCGAAGAAAGAACTACCTGGGACCGCATGAACTATGATGATCCTAAACCCTAAACCCTAAACCCTAAACCGATGGTAAGGAGGAACTTGATGCTTCTCGCGCCAGTCAGCCACTGGACGAACCCGAGTTCGAATCTATCAAACCAGAAAACAGCACACCCCAAACCTCTACACCTTTAGGGTTTAGGGTTTAGGGTTTAGGGCTCAGAGTTTAGACCCGACATGCATGTCTCCGGGGTATGTCACAGGTCTGCCCCCTGGCATCTATGCACAGATTTGGGGGCTGTTCCCATTGACACTTCAGGCTTGACAGCTTCTCAATCCTAAACCCTAAACCCTAAACCCTAAACCATCCTAAACCCGCAACCCCTAAAGCCTAAACCTGAATTTTGAAGCTGAAGAGCCTGAAAACCCTGCTGCTCACGGCTTCGAACAACCCCCCAGTAATGCAGGGCTGCCGGATCATCCTCGAATTTTTGAGTATGACAAATTTATTGAAACGACCGCAAATAACTAATCAGAATGATTTAGAAAGCTGACTGATGGTACTCAGCACTCAGGCTGGAAACGGCACGGAGGACAGCAAGAATCACAACAGTAGTCGACAAAGACATCGCTGAAGTGCTTTTTTTAGTCAATGATGCCGAGGGCCGGAACACCTAACGTCTAAACTGTAAAACTTGAATCTGAAAGGGCGTGATCAAACCAATTTTCTTGGGGGTGCTGAGGGTTAGCCAGTGTGCCCATACCATCATGAAACAGGTCTCTGCTTGGAGCCAGACAGGTCTTGCAAGCTTCTTTCACGAATGTGTTACGATGCTTCCCAACCCTAAACACTAAACCCTAAAAACCGCAGTATCAAGCCCTTCCCAACCCTAAACCCTAAACCCTGAACCCTAAACCCTAAAAGCCGCAATATCAAGCCCTCTGTATAAGAGCCGGATCCTCCTCATACGGGACCCCTACCTAGTCTAAATCCGTTTCTCAACCAACCTTATGAATACGGTTTAGGGTTTAGGGTTTAGGGTTTAGGGTTTAGGGTTTAGGGTTTAGGGTTTAGGGTTTAGGGCTATACACAGCTGTCTCAAAGACTTATCCAAAAACCCTTTCGGAATTCCATTTTGTGGTCAATATAGATGATCTAACCCTAGCCGCCCACCCCACGGTACCCAATATCGGATTTGCTTGAAGATGAAAGTATATACTGGAAAGGTAAGGAACCTTACACCGAAACCACAAACGTTTTGGCACCTGTATAGAACCCAGTTAAGTAGTCTTATAGTACCCCCGATGGAGTCCTCGATGGAAGCTTGTAAGATCTATACACAAACCCTAGAAGACATTATAACAACACATAGAACCCCGTAAATCAGTAAGCAACAAATTGAAAGCACTATTGACAACCACATTTGGTTTTAAACATACGAAGGGCCATAGTTTACAGGTGATTTCAAAGGGTCTTAGGGTTCGTTGGTTTAGTGTTTAAGGGCTGGGGGCAGAAGCGCAGCTAAGAAGCCCTAATCTTAGGATCCCTAACACTACTAAACCCTAAACCCTAAACCCTAAACCCTAAACCCCTAAACCCAAAACCCTTCTTTCAAGCCAAAACATGTACTTTTTGAGTATGTTAAGGTTTAGGGTGCTGGGAGTGCTCGCAAAACGAGCTCTACGTAAGTTGTAACACTGCTGCAACCTGCTTTATAATAGCTATACAAAATTCCCTTTGATCCTTCAAACCCTGGATCAGCCCTTAGATTCCCCTCTGGGGTTTAGGGCAAAGCTGGAGCCTGTGCTCCGTTGTTGCAGTGCCCTAAGGGTCCAAGTAGTCCTTATTGATGGTTTTTGGTACCCATAAAGGACCCAAAGTCCTTAAATAATGAATACTTGGACCCGTAGGGGTGGAAATTTCGGCGATCGGTCTTCGACGCAGTGGCAACATGCAAGTTGCACTCCTTCTCCCGTGCTGGTGGGTCAGGCTGAAATCCCTAATCCCTAAGGGCTTAAATCATTACCACGACTACTGTGGGGGTTCCTTATTATAACTATAGTCTATTGGCCCCAAACCCTATTAAAATTCGACAGACCCCTACATTAAAATTACAACCCTAAATTTAAAGCCTAACACCTCAATTTCAAGGAGATGAAGATAGGCCACTCGAACCGCTTGAATGATCTAAAACGGATAGAACCCTGCGAAATCAGCTTTGCTTAAGCCAAATAATAGTAGGATCCTGTTTGGGTCTGGGCAAAAGAAATCTTGGGGGTTTAGGTTCCTAAAAGCACCAACCCCTGCGAGCCCCAAGCTGTTTTTCGCTTTTTTGTTCTGAATCGGAAATCTGATGTTTCTGAAACTCCCATACCTATAGAGTAGGTTCTACCTCGGAGGGTAGATACTACAGTAGTGTTCGCCATACAGCAACCTCATCAAATCAAATCAATGTCAACACCAAGCCAGCCAGGCACACACCATGTATAAACAAATAAACGAACAAA